TGTGGGTGCAGATTGAGCGTGATGAGAGTGGCATCTTGATTCATCAGGAGAGGTACATTCTCAACATGCTTGAGTCCTTTGGCCTTTCTGAGGCTAACCCCGTGCGTACCCCTCTCCCTACAGGGTTCGACGTGCATGCACATGCTGAGGAGCCCTTGCTGCAAGATGAGCCGGTCCAGCTCTATCAAAGCATGACCACACAGCCCCAGATTGCTTATGCAGTGTCACAGCTGTCCAATGTGGTGTCTTTCTGTCTGTCCGTCGGTTTTGGGGTGGTACGAGGAACTAAATTGTAGTCGCGTGCCAAACTGCTGCCACAAGTTCCGCCAGAAGTTGCTGGTGAATTTCGTCTCGCGGTCGCTGATGATCGCTGCTGGTATCCCGTGCAGTCGAACGACGGTGGAGATGAAGAGGCGGGCTGTTTCTTCGGCTGTGATCGATTTCTTGCAGGCTGCGAAGTGTGCCATTTTCGTCAGCCGATCGACAACGACCAGGATCGCGTCGTTCCCACTTGCTCTGGCTGGTAACCCCGTGACGACGTCCATCGTCACCTGCTGCCAAGCACGCTCTGGGGGTGGTATCGGCTGCGACTGTCCTGCCGGCCGCTTCCGTAATGATTTCATGAGCTAGCAAGCGGGACACGATGTCACGTGCAGCTGTACGTCGGTCAACATTTCGGGCCAGTAATAATACCGCTGCAGCTGCTGCCGTGTTTTCTCTACCCCGAAATGGCCTGAGGTAACTCTGTCGTGTGCCTCCTGTAACAGTAATTCCCGTAGTAGTGAATACCCTGGTACCTAGACGCGGTCGGTGCCGGCCTTTACGTAATAAACTCCCTTTGCTGCTGCGAATTTCCTCCTGTGAAGAATGAATCCGTTTGGTACCCATGGGTAAATAGTCCTGTCAGGGGCTGGTCTGAGCACGTAGTACCGCATGGATCTGGGCAGTGGGGCGGGTCAGTGCGTCGGCGATGCTCGATGCCCCCTTTTTGTAGGTGACCATGTAGTGAAAACTGGACTCGAGGAAATCAAGCCAGCGGATCTGTCGTGGGTTGAGGTGGGGCTGTGCGTGGAGGTACTGTAGCGATTTATGGTCTGTCCGTACTGTCACGCCTGCGTCGGTCAAGTAACAGCGCCACACTTTGAATGCGTGCACGATCGCGAGCATTTCGCGGTCGTGTATTGGGTGATTCTTTTTGGGCGGATCCAGTTTGCGGGACTCGTATGCGATGGGTGGTAACCCGTTGCCGAAATCCTGTAGCAGTACGGCTCTGATGGCGATGTCGCTGGCGTCTGTAACTACTTCGAATGGGTGGTGTGGGTCGGCGATGCGTAGTACGGGCGGTGAACAGAGAACATTTTTCAGGGTAGAGAAAGCAGCATGCTCTTTCTCCCCCCACGTAAAAGCGACCCCCTTTTGCAGCAAATCCGTCAGTGGTGCTGTCAATTTTGCCATGTCGGGGACGAACCGACGCACGTAATTAACGAACCCTAAAATCTCTGCAGCTCCGTGATGTTTGTCGGGGGGTGCCAGGCTTTTACCGAGCCCAGCTTCTTCGGGTCAATCTCAACCCCAGCCTCCGAAACAACGTGCCCCAAAAAATCTAGTCTGTCCTAAAAAAACTCGCACTTGGAACCTTTCGTCAGGAACCGATGCTCGTCTAAGATTTTAAACACCGCTTCTAGATCTGTTAAGTGCTGCTGCTTATCGTGACTGTAGAGTAGGATGTCCTTGAGGTAAACTATCACGCAAATATCTAAAAGTGGCCTAAACGCCTCGTTCATGGTCATCTGAAATGTCGCCAGTGCGTTGGTCAGCCCGAATGGCATCACGGTGTACTCGAATGACCCGTACCTAGTCCTAAAAGCCGTCTTGGCGCAGTCCGGTGGTTCGACTTGAATCTGATGGTAACCTCCCCGTAAATATATTTTCGAAAAAACCCGTGATGTTCGCAGTTGGTCTATCAGTTTGTCGGCGCGGGGAATGGGATATCGCGACTTGACTAAAACCCGGTTCAGTGCTCTGTAATCGATGCACATGCGAAATCCTCCGCCTTTTTCCGGTGTGAACAGTATCGGTGCGGCGAACGGTGACGAACTCGGTCGGATGAATTTCTTCTCTAACAGGTAATCTAACTGCTTCCTCAGTTTGTCGAGCTTGGGTTGTGTCATTCTGAGTTGTCGATGTACGGTTGGCTGTGCCCCCGGTTCTACCTCTATTCGGTGGTCGTGTGCTTGCTGAGGTGGCAATCCCTCCGGTAAGTCATCGGGATAAATCCCCGGGTATCATTTCAACAGTTCCTGTAGTTCGGGTGGTACTGCTGCCAGCAGTTTTTGAAAATCGCTCGGCTCCTCTGCTTCTCCTGCTACTGCGATGTCCACTGCGTACACGTCAGATCCAGCGGCGATGGCCCGTTTCATTGTAATGGCGTTGACGTGGACCATTGAAGACTCGGGCGACTGCCAGCGAGGTAGCTGGACCAAGTTACCGCTACTTCGCACAGTGCAGCTACCCATCGTCCAGTCAATTCGCGGGTTATACCGTCACAACCAATCACGTCCCAGTAAAATGTCGTACCCATCCAATGTCGTCGCGAGCATTTCCTCTGTAAACCCGAAATCCCCCCCGCAGCGGACCTTTACTCTCTCCACCTTCTCCCGTATGGCCAGCGGTGTGCCGTCAACTAAGCGTGCGTCTATCTCCGGTAAACACCGGCTAAGTGTCAGTTGCAGTTTCCGTGCGGTTACGGTATTAACTAAACTGTGACCTGCTCCTCCGTCAATGAAATTCATCACTGTTGCTCCCTGTATTTTCCCGTGGATCAGTACTGGGCAATCCATCGCTGTACCCTCCTTATTCGTCCGAGCCCGATCGATGGCGTGAATCGATACTGTGACTCGGTGAGGGTCGGTGGGGTTGGGCGAGCAGGCAGTCCCGTCAGTAGTTGGCCCGATTCCTAGTGACTGCTGGCGTTTCCTTGCCTTGGAGACTCCCTCCCCTGCTCTGCTCCGTGGCGCCTCAGCTCCTCTGGGCATTCACTCTTGCGATGGCCCGGCCTAGTGCAAGCAAAGCAGCGCCCCTTAAACGGCGCGGCAGCTGCATTTGTTGCAATGGCATGTATGGTGGCGTGCTCGATCGGTCCCCGAGGGCGATGTCCGTAGTAGGACCCCGGTCTCGGACGGCGCAAAATGTCGATTTTCTCGGCGAGCGCGAGAATTTCGTTGAAATTCGAGAGTCCGCGTAGCATGATTTCGTGCAAGATGTCCGGCTTCAGCCCTCCGACGTAACGGTCCACCCGCTCCGCTTCGTGCATCTAGCCGACTTGCTCGCATAATGCGAGAAAACCGCTCGTATAGTCTTGAACCGGTCCGAGCTGCCGCCAAGTACGCAGTCTCTGACGCGCCGAAATAGAAGCTGCGATCGGCTCGAAGCCCTGCGCACCACACATCCCACGTGCTGTACTGGGCGGTTTCGCGGAATGAACTCCAGGTGACGGTTGGGCCCGTGGGCCCTTCCTCTTGCGACGGTGGCTCATAGGCGTGTGGCAACGTCACGATGACTCGCCACCAGTCCATGGCGGGGCCCCCTTAGCAGCGAGACGGCGTATCGGATCTTCGCTGCGTGCGACTCGACGTAGTTCGCGTCGAAAAAGACGTTCATCATGAAGACCCACGATTGAACCGTCGGACCTCCACGCTGGCTCGAGTCGAAACAGGGCGGGCGCTGCAGCTTGAGTGGCATTGGTGCCGTGATGGCGTGGTCTCCACTTGTTGCCGCAAACTCCACGTGCCGACGGGCTTCGCGAGGCTCTCGCGGGCTTGGCGCGGCCCTGTTCCTCTCCATGCCAGGCATCAATTGAGCAGCGCCATCACTGGCTGCGCCTGACCGCTGTCCCACGCTGACGTTTTGTGTCGATGTGCCTGATGAAATGACGATCGGCTCCTCCGATTGTGCGGGTGCATTTGCATGTGCGTGTAGTGGCGCTGGAGCATTCACCGTGGATTGCTGACGAGCGGAGTCGCGCTCCGCCATGAGTGTCGCAATTTCGAGCGCCGGGTCTTCGATTTGGCGCATGAGACGGTCGAGTTGCCCCTGCATCAGTGTCGCGAGAGTGAATTCGGCCATGGCGGGGGTGTCGGGCAAGCTCAGCGAGAGCCTCTATCGTAGCCGTGCGTGCTTACGAGAGAGCACTACGAGCGGCGATGCTTGTTTCGCTGAGAGACGTCTACCCCCCCCCAAAAATTGAGATATTGGGGAAACGAAGGTGTGGGTGCAGTCTGAGAAGAGATCGTAGGCTCTGAATACCAAGTGTTGCGATACAATTGAGTGAGCGAGCGAGAGTTGCACTATCGAAGCAAGAGTACAATGAGCGAAGGCATGAGCGAAGAATATATAGCGAAACTACGGTGGTAACGGTAATGCGTGAAAATGGGGTGTGCGACGGGCCTGGCGCCGAGGTTGGGAAATAACAAGGCGGAGGTCCGGAGCGCGGGTTACCAACCAAATCGTGAGGTTGGGTCGCGTCGTGAACAGTGGCGAGAACAATGTCGAGGCGAATGTCGCGAGTGGTAACGGATTACTGTCGGGTGCTGTTGGCGGGAACAATGGTGTACGCGCTGAGCAGGGACGCGAAGTAAGGAAAAGGAATTTTCCTTACACAGATGATGTATGCAGCTACACTTACCATTTTAATTTGCAATCGTTAACATCCAATCATTCTCCTATAATGTTCTGCAATCGACACAACCAGGGCCGCCGTTTCAATTTTCACTCTTATTTTCACAACCAAGCCTAGGACTCGAAGAATTTTTTCCAAGAATAGTGGAGCTATCATTTGAAATAATCGAATTACCACATTCCAATTTCGAAAATGAATGAAATGTTTGGTAAAGCTAAGGCGGCACTGTCTCAATTTCCAACCAAGATAAAATTTTGCATGAGCATTGCTTCGTAGGAGCACCAATTGTCTCTTTCAATTGCTAAATCAATAACGAAAATATTTATCTCAGCATCACCAATGGGAGACAGAAGAGCGGGAGAAGGGGAGAGAGCTCGAAAGGGAGGGGGGGAGGGAAGGGGGAGAAAGGGAAGGGGGAGAAGTGGGAATAGGGGGAGAAGGAAGAGCGGGAAAGGGAAAGAATGTGCGAGGTACTCACTCCAACAAACTTGGAGGCCATGACAATGAGAGGCAGGGAGGGGGCGTGAAGGGGCGTTTGGGTGACAAGGGAAGGGCGGATGGGTGACAGGGGAAGGGCGGATGGGCGATAAGGGAGAAGAGGGGATACAGATGATCTGATCAGTGCGTGATTTTAGAGGCGATAGAGGATGGATGCTACTGGCTGGACTATGCATGGCTGGTTGGTGGTGGAGAGAAGAGGGGAACACTGATGATGAGTGATCGGTGACGGCAGAAAATGATGCTTGCTTGCTTTTGGCTGGCCTGTGAATACTTGGGGAGGGGGGGGGAGGAGAAAGGGCATGAGGATGGGAAAGGGGAAGGGGATGGGGATGGGGATGGGGGCCGGGAAAGGAATGGGGATGGGAAAGGCGAGATGAAAGGGGTATGGGAAGTGGGGAGAATGATGGAGAGTGACGGATGGAGGGCCTTTTAAAGAGGCCGGTGAGGCAGCCCAGGAGGGTCCGAAGGAAAATGCCCATGAGGTGGGTTAGCAAAGAGGCGGCGAGATGGGAAACAGGGGAGGAGGGATGTGGGACGTATAAGTAAATTCATTTTCAAACGCAAAGCGCAAATGGGAGAAAATTTGCCACTAAGAGGGGTCATTAAGAAGGAGACAGATGGAAATGCGAGACAGAGGCAGTGAGTGATGGGAGGGAGGGGGTGAATAAGGGAGCGATGTTGTAGAATGTCAGTCCCTGTTAGTACCGTGTCGCTAACATGGATAATAGCATGGGAGGGCATTCACAGGGCATGCAACACGCAGGGAGAGTTGGGGACCTAGGAAAACACCCCCCGGGGGCATAGCTGTTAGAAACTTGCTTGCGATAGAGACACCCGTGACCCACCGGTGGGTCATCGGTGTCGAGAGTCAGCAGGCATCCTTGAGCCTCTTGCAGGTGACTCTCCAGAAAAGTCAGCTGAGTCAACCTGAGCAACCTGAGACTGACCTGAGACTCACGCGAGACTCACCTGAGAACTACCTGAGAGTGGGCTGAGAGTGACTTTAGATCGACTTGTGAATCACCTGGAAATGAGGTGCTACTGGCCTGCTAGTGACCCACAAGTGACCCACAAGTGACCCACAAGTGACCTATGATTAGCCCACGACCCTCTCACCACCCACGCACCTTCCTCATCTAGCAGCGAAGAGCAGCAGTGGCCATTACCAGTGAGCAATAGCAGTGGCGCCACCTCCTCATTCACTCCACGCACCTCCTCCTCCTGCTACCTTGTCCTTGAGCAACAACGTCACCGCGGGGAACCCAGCAGCACCGCAGGTCACCCGTGAGCAGCGCGCAGCAGCCTGCATTGCAGGGGCGAACGTTGGTGGTTGGTAGGAGAAGCAGGTGCGGAGCTGGGGGGAAATGGGGGGGAGAGTTGAAGGGGGTAAAAGGTGGTGAAGGGTGAAGTGAATGCTTTGTTGAACAGTGCAACTGTGTAGCGGGGCAGGGAATCAGTGGGGCAGATGTGGGGTGTAGGAGAAGCAGGTGCTGAACTGGGGGGCCATGGGGAAGGGAGAGCGGAGCAAAGAGGGATAAAAACACATCAACACTGTGATATATGAGAAGGATACTGGAGACAGTAAGGTGGGGGTGCGAGACTATGCAATGAGGCAGTAGTGTGGGAGAAGCAAGTGCGGAGCTGGAAATTGGGGGAGGGGTGGGGAACGTAGGGCAACAGAATAATGCGTTGATTCTACAAGGCGACCAAAGGTGGGAGACAGTGCTAGATGCAAAAAAGTGGTGGGAGTGAGGCAGTGGGGCAAGCGGAAGTCCACCATGAGTGAAAGGTGCGGAGTTGGAGGTTGGAGTGGCCAAAGAGAGATAAAAGGGAGCAGGGAAGGAAGGGAGCAACGATCAGGTGGGACGGACAGTGTGAGGGCTCGAGAAGGTGGGCAACACGTGAATCAAATCCATGAGGGTTCTGGCGGTGGTCTGTTACTTGGGTTGGCAAGGGCTGGTCACGCTTCTTGTACTTACATTTCTTGTATCACTGTTCAGTTCGGTATAAAGCGTTTCAGAGCGGCGAAGTAAACAAACCGCTGTGGAGTGCACAGAATTGTTTCCAACCGCTTATAATGAACTGTTAACACACTACGCGTGAGCTGCATCCACCCAGATTCCAGAAATCTCCGCTGAACTGCTTGGGCGGCTATTAGGACGATGTAGACTTGATGGTGGGCAAGGCATTTTTGAGACGCCCTCTTTGTGTTTATCGTTTTTAGCACGACGATGCGCGTCCGACTTCTGACACGATCGGAACCATGTCCGCGCGGAATGTGACAATCTTGAATGGGCGTCCTGACCAGAGCGGTCAAGACGCCCATTAGAACATGCTCTAAAGTCATCTTGACCGTCCCTCTGTTTGATCACTCTTGAACACATCTAGACCTCGCTTGAACGCACCGTTGCTTGTCGAGACTTAGGCAAGGATGGATTCAACTATCGAGAGAGTTTTACAAGTAGGAAAATCCTAAGGGGTTATACCCCACAGAATCTACCCCACTACAGCCTACCAATAACTACAACATATAACATATATATATTTGACACACCCCCATAGGCAAAGTGGGGGAGAGCAAGAGGTCACAAGACCAGTCAAAAGAAGCAAAGCAGGCTCAGGGTGGATCACAACGTCACCACACACTCTGAGCACAAGCAAAGGGCCACAAGTCCAGTTCACATATCAGAGGTATATATGCAGCAAGAACAGTACTGTGATCTCTACCTAGCAAGAGCAGGCATGCAGGTATATATATATATAGATCACAGTACAAGCAGAGTCTACAGCAAGTGCGGAAACGTAGGCACAAGACCCAACAAAGTAAAAAAACGCTGATGGTCACCAGACGGAAGTGCCTTGGTGAATATATCAGCAGTCTTGGCCACGTGAGCAAGGCGAAGCTGACCCCGCTGCTGCAACTCTCGAGCCAGGAAATAACGCAGAGCGATGTGCTTCGTTCTGTGCTCCAGTTTGTGCTCCTCACACAAGGCAATGGCGGCCTTGTTGTCGACGTACAGATTTGGAGGAGAACGAGGCCTCTCTCCCAAGTCGGTCAGCAGGTAGGTGAGCCAGCGTAACTCCTGAGCAGCCATGGCTGTTGCGTAGATCTCAGCCTCACAACTGGAGCTGAGAACAGAAGACGAGCGAGTAGAACGCCAAGAAACAGAACCGGAGCCAAGGCTGAAAGTGTAACCCTGTGACGACCGCTGTGTAGCCTGGTCGTCAACCCAAGAAGCGTCTGAGTGCCCAGTGAGGACAACTGGGCTCCGCCCTCCAAGCACGAGCCCCATGCCCGATGTACTGCACAGGGAGCGCAGTACCCTCTTCGCAGCATCCATGTGCTCCTTTCGGTGCCTACCAGGAGCCACGTAGCGGGCCAGAAGGTCAAGAGGGTACGCAAGGTCAGGTCGAGTGCAGGTCATCAGGTACATGAGGCAGCCCACTAGCTCTGGGTACGGGCCACTCGGCTCTACGGACTCGTCCGAAGGTGGAGCTGAGAGCGAGTGGCCTGTAGCCAGAGGAGTGCGCTGTGTCGAGGACCAGGTGAAGCCGAAGCGCTGAAGGACCTGCTGCACCATGTGTGACTGAGTCAGTGTGATGGTGCGGCGTGCTCTGTCCCGGGTGATCTGCAAGCCAAGATAGCTGCGCAGCTCACCCAGGTCTGTGCACGTGTGTCTCTTCTGCAGCTCCGACTTCACCAGGGCGAGAGCCTCAGTGTCAGCAGTGGCAAAGACCAAGTCGTCGACGTACACGAGGATGTAGAACGGCGGCAGCGACGTGTCTGTGCGCAGAAACAGCGACGGGTCAGCAGTAGACGGAGCAAACCCAAGAGCCGCAAGTGTTGTCCTCAGTGTGTCGTGCCACTCACGTGGCGCCTGGCGGAGACCGTAGAACGGCCGCCGGAGGCTCAACTGGGTACCAGGAGGGAACGACCCAGTAAAGCCAGGCGGGCGGCGCAGCCAGATCTCCTTGTGCAGGCTGCCCTGTAAGGAAGCTGTGCTGAAGTCAAGAGAGTGAAGCTCGTAGTCACGCTGAGCGGCAACGTGCAGCAGCACCCGAAGAGTGGTCATCTTCGGGGTGGGGGAGAAGGTCTGGAAGAAGTCTACTCCCTCTCGCTGAATGAAACCTCGAGCAACGTAACAAGCCTTGAAGACAGGCGGAGAACCTGGCGGCCGCTTCACCCTGAAAATCCACATGTCACTGACGATGTTCGCCCCAGGAGGGGGAACCTCGTCAACGTAAGTGCCTGTGGACTTCCAGGATGCCATCTCTGCGTCCATGGCTGTCTGCCACTGAGAGGAGTACTCACCCGCGATCTCCTCAGCGTAAGAGCGCGGGGTCGGGATGTCTGGAGCATCCGGGTCTCCCTCAGGGGCAAGCAGCATGGACACGAGATGAGGCGCAGCGGCTGCAAGACACTCAAGGTCCTCCTGCCTGTCCTCAAGGACGTCCGTGCCAAGAGCACACTCACCCCCGACGGACGGAGGACAGACAGACTCAGACTCAGCAACAAGACTAGCGGCGTAGTCTAGACGACAGGCAGGAGCAAAGTCAACAAGCTCAGCAACAAAGGCAGACGCAGCAGCAGACTCAAACGACGGGTCAGTGACAACTGTGGCTAGCAGACGCGTGACAGTAGAGTGAGCAGCACGGGTGCGGTCAGACTCAGGCTCAGGAACGGTAGGCAGAGAAGACGCAGGAGGGGACGGCAGGGGAACACGCTGCTGAGGAGAGGAAGGACGACGAACTACGAGGTGGGTGCCGGGGACAGCCGGCTGACGCGAACGAGGAACACGGCGACCGGAACTACGAGAACGGACAGGCGAGACAGGACGCGACGCAGGCTCACGACGCTCAGTAAAACCCCTTGTCTGCTCAGTGTAAGGAGAAGGAGCAGGCAGCGGTGAGCCATGCTGTAACGGAAGACCAGTAGACGAAGGGAGACTAAGAACCTGGCGAAGCACAGAGTCAGGCGGTGGCTAAGACGACGAAGACGGCGGAGCTAAGAACAGACGCGGCTGTGCAGGGCCACCAGCACCAGCAGCTCCAGCACCCCCAGCAGCTCCAGCACCTCCAGCAACTCCAGAACCCTCAGCGCCAGCTCCTCCAGGACCAGCTCCACCAGCAGCAGCACCCCCAGAACCAGCACCTCCAGTCCCAGGGTCTCCAGCCTCAGTGTCTCCAGCAGCAGCACCCCCAGACCCAGGGTCTCCAGCAACAGCACCCTCAGACTCAGCAGCACCTCCAGCCCCAGCAGCTCCAGTACCTCCAGTACGAGCACCTCCGGGACCAGCACCACTCCCAGCTCCAGTGACGACAGCAGAAACACCTCCAGCGGCAGAGCCTCGAGCTCCAGAAGCGCGACCCTGACGGCGACCGTACCAGTCGTGCAGCTGCTGTGAGGTGAGAGGCACACGCGGACGAAGGCGGCTACTCCAGGGAGACCGCGCAACAGCAGACTCAGAACCCTCAGCGCCAGCACCCGCAGCAGCTCCAGAACCTCCAGCACCAGCACCCGCAGCAGCTCCAGAACCTCCAGCGCCAGCACCCGCAGCAGCTCCAGAGCCTCCAGCGCCAGTGCCCTCAGCAGCTCCAGAACCTCCATCTCCAGCACCCTCAGCAGCTCCAGACTCCGCACCCCCAGGCTCCGCACCCCCAGGCTCAGCACCCCCAGGCTCAGCACCCCAAGAAGTAGTACCCCGAGCAGGACCACCCTCTGCAGAACCTGAGTCACCAGTGACCTCAACCGGCGCAGTCAAGGGAGGAGGGTCTACCTGAGACACACCTGAAGGAGCAGGACCGGGAGTGGGGAGGGGGTCTACCTGGGGAGCACCTGGAGCAAGGAAGAGCGGCGGAGGGGGGAGAGGGGCAGTGCGGTAGGGGAAGAGACGGTAAAAGGGAACCGACTCGTCGAACATGACGTCCTGAGAGGGGAAGACACGGCGCGAGGTGGGGTGGTAAAACTGCCAACCAGGCGCGTCAGGGACAAAGCCAAGGAAGACACAGGGAACAGCGCGGGCAGAGAGCTTGTCCGCGGTGGTATCGCGGACAAAGGCACGAGCACCCCAGACCCGGAAACGCGACGCATCGCCAACCTTCCCCGTCCACAGCAATGTGGGCGAGGTCTCCGGCAAGGAGACACGGGGCCAGAGGTTGAGCTGATGCGCGGCGTACCGGACCGCAAACGGCCACAGAAAATGGGGGGCAGCCGCATGGATCATGGAGGTACGAGCGACCTCCATGACTAAGCCAATGCTGCGCTCAGCAACCCCATTCTGCTGCGGAGAGGCCAGAAGCGTGAACGACTGGGTGATGCCGTGCTCCTCACAGAAGGCTGCCAAGAGGTCGGAGGAAAACTCACCACCTCTGTCAGAGTGCAGACGCAGGACGGGAAAATCCGTCCCGAACCGCTCGCGGAGCTGGAGACGAGCAGCGCGGATCCAAGGGATCAAAACATCAGGAACCTCACCCTTGGTGCGCAAGGGGAAGACCGTGGTGTAACGCGTGTAGTCGTCGACGACCAGCAGGAAGTTCCGCTCGTGGCCCTGTCCACGGACGCGGGCTGGGCCCCACACGTCCAGGTGGAGAGTCTGCAGGGGAGCCTCTGTGGGAGGGAACGAGGAGGAGTGAGGAGCGGCGCGCTGCCGCCCCTCGACACAGGGAAGACAGGGAGGAACAGGTGAGGGTGGGAGGGGAGGGAGAACCCTGGGAAGACCAGAGACAAGGACCCGGCAGTGCATGCTGCGAAGGCGTTGCACTGAGGGGTGACCAAGGCGG